GCCATCTAGTGAATTGAAAATCAACTAAGCGTTTTTTAATGATTGTTCCATAATATTTGGTCAACCCATTTTCTTGATAAAGTCATTTTTTCAAATATACATTCATTTATTCCAGATTTATTATTGTTAAACTTACCATTTTTATTATTTGTGAATTAATTATTTTGTGCTTGCGAGTTAATAGAAATGTCTGAAAAAGAAGTAGAAGAAATAGCAAAATGTGTTCACTATATATTATTTGAAATGTTCTAAAATAATTCAATGAAATTATTTTTAAAATATATTATTATTATATTTAAAATTAATATTTATTTTAAAATTTTAAATATTTCAGTATATTAATTTATGTTAAATACAAAAATTATTAAAACGAGCCGTCTACATTAAAATCTGTCTTTGGAGATTTCAAAAGTTAGCTGAACTTCCTGGGTAGTTGGTGTTCTACGTTCCAAGAACACGTGTTATATATATATCTTTCTTATATAATATCCCCCTAACCTTAAAGAGAATCATTGTACAAGTAAGAAGCCTTTTTGTAGTACAGATAATTAATCATGTTTCACTATTTAAAACTAAGACCATAAAATGCATCTTATGCAACGGTGAATTTAGTCTCGATTTTCCACACTACATGTTCTACTGTACGGCAATGGAAGAAGAAAGAGAAATTCTTCGTCAAGAGACCGGCTATAATAGCAATTCTTCCAACAAATAGCGTAAGCCATCAGCAACCTTTAGTTACGCAATCAAAAGAAGCTTTTCTCTTAATTTATCCACCTTATTCAAGTAAAATTTTATTTTTTCACTTTTTTATGAGGTACCTGCTCGACCCCTCCTGATTAGCTGATCAAGGGTGTTGTTGCCCTCCCCCATATGAAGGAAGCAGGTAGGGGTTTCCTTTCTTTGTTGATGGGAAACTTTATAGCGAGGCAATTTCTATATTTCACCAGTTCTCTAGGGTGAAGGAAGAGGAGTGAGTTATTATATAAGAACTAGTAAATGATTCGAATACATATAGTTATTAAGAAATTTATATTAATTTTGACGCGTATGATACTTTTCAAAATAAAATAATATCTACTTTCCTTTCTGCAATTATAAAATTAGCTGGAGGGCCTGATATCATCAGTAATGAATCCCCAACTGTTATCCCGTTTTATCTGCCAAACCGCTCGGAGGGTTCACCAATGATAAGCTAAGCCCTCCTGTTAATTATTTTATTGTAGTATGGGCAATAGATATTATATTTTGAAAAAATTCACACACGTCAAAAAGGGTTTGAATTTCTTATAAAAGATGGCGCACTAAGACATTTTGTTAACATTTAGTTTATACTCCGCACTTAGATTATACACATACTATCAAATGTTTATAAAATTACTGGAGAATTAATTTTTAAACACTTTCATTTACAGTTGAGAAGAACTTCCTTTTTTAGATTTTATTTAAAATTTGAATAAGGAACATACCCTTGAAACGATTTCCCAATTTGGTTACTAATGTAAATTTTCAATACACATAAAAACGAGAATAGTCAATAACAAAAAAATCAAAATAGAATGAAGGACTTCTTAATATATTGACGATTTATTTTATTAAGAAAGAATTAGGACTCTCTCTAACAAGTCTTATTAAAGTTTTATCTTAATAAAGCAAAATAATATTTTTTTGTTGTAATACCTTGAAAAGAACTGGCGTTCCGCAAATTTAAATATTGATAAATAACTTATTTTTTTATCCAATATATGCTTTTGTGATGAAAAAATAAATTATATGTAAGCACTATTTGCCTTCTAATATTTTTAAAAATATATGTCTTATATAAATTAATATGAGAAGAAATTTAATATCATGTTATGGTAATTTTAAATATTTATCTATTCTGCAAATATAAAGAGCTCTGCCACCTTATACTCTGATATTTTGGAAACAATCATTGAAAGTCGTTCAGAGAAGTGGTTTTATATTTTTTGACCATTTAAGCTTGCATTTTACTTGTTCACTCGTAACATCAATGAAAAATTATTTGGAGCACTTTCTTTCGAAAATTATTTTACTCTAATAAATTAGTGAATAATTGAACAATATGAGCTAACATATAGGTAACCCAGGCTCCTGTAGGGAAGAACAATTTATATATATATTTATGGATGAAGTATTTTTAAATTAAAAAAAAAACTGATATATGTAAGGCATCTCAGATTAATTCTGATTATTTTTGCCTAAAACCCAAATTTTGTTAAGTCGCGCATCTCCAACCTACAAACATCTTTTTATTTGGAGCACATAGGATAATATTTCATAGATTTTATTATTCTTTTATGAAATAAACAAATAGGATTTATTTTATTTATTATTAAGTATTTGAGTACCTTTGAAAACCAAAACTTCTTTCACATCATTCAAAAATGTAAATTCTATTCAATTATTTGAGAAATTATCATTGCCCAGAAAAGAGTGATAGAGAATCATTGAAAAATCGGGAATAAATTAAAAAATGGCTTATGTGGCTGTCTTTTTCAAACAAAACTTCAATACGTTTTATTTTAATAGATAAAATGCATAAGCACTCAATATAATCACAATTTAGAGCGAAGATTTTGAATTTTAAAAAGAACTAATAATATAATATGTCAATTCTTTTATTAATTTTGAAGCAAAAAAAAAATTGAAGTGCGTGAGAATATTATATTTTATTAATAATCACAAATAAATTAATTTCTCTATTGAATATATTAGTTTTTTTTTTAATCTGAAGGAGGCACTGAATAAAAAAAAAACTTGAGAAGAGAGAGATTTTTCAGATTACTGCCTCTCTTTCAAGGGCATAACTAAGTAAAACTAGTTGTTTACTGAGTTGATATCTCTTGTATCATAAACACAGACATCACATTTATACAAATAAAATATATTTATTTCAAATTTATGAAGGTTTATTTACAAGTATAAATACAATTTTTTAAAGAACCCTAATTTCCCAGCCGGAGGTATTCTTTAGAGAGGTGCCCTCTTGCCCAAAAACAGTTCATTTTAGATTTGAAAACTTTCTTTTGTAGAGGCATCTTCTAGTAGGAATATCTTCTTATGTAGAAGGTTTTACTGTATTAATTTATTTTTTGTCTCGTTTGATTTTTTTTAACATTCATTGATATTTCTCGTTTTTGTTAATTTTCTTCTGATTTTTTGGCTTGCTTTTCATGTTTTTTGGCATGACGTTGAAGATAGTCTTTACGGCAGAAGCGCTCGGTACATTGTGAACATTTAAATGGCTTTTCTCCAAGATGAATGCGCACATGTGTCTCAAGTCTTTGTTTTGTGGGAGTTCTGAAAAAGCAAAATTGACATTCGAAAGGTCTTTCTCCTGTATGTGTTTGGGTATGTGTTTCCAAATGTGAAGACTTCAGAGTTGCGTAGTCACAAAACATACAAGTCAAATACTTTTTGTTATCATGATCATATTCATGAAGTGTCAAATTTGATTTCCCGGTTGTGACAAAATCACATCTTGAACATTTGAAGTGTTTCCCTTTTGCATGAAGTTCTTCATGGCTTTTTAAACTTTTCAACCATTTGGTTGTAAAATTACAATGCTTACATTTGTGGGAAATAACTTTGGTGTGATTATCACGCATGTGTCGAGCAAGTGAATTTTTAATTTTGAACGAAACTTTACATATGTCACATTTATGAGTTTGGTCCTTAGCGTGAGTACTTTTATGTACTTTGAGATGAAACTTGGTAGTTGTAGTATATACACAAGTTTCACAGCTAAATTTCCGAACATCTGAATGATTTGTTCTATAATGCTCCCAAAGTTCTTTCTTGCTTTCAAGTAGATTTCTACAGTATTGACATTCCTTAAACATTCGGTCATTTTCGAAAACGTCCTTTGCCACCGATTTTCCTGGTATATTTCTCTTCTGTAAACACACAAAAAAAAATGTTTATTTTAAAGTAAGCCTATTATAATCTTTGTATAATCCTGGAAGTAAGGTTTAAATTGGGAAATTTTATTATAAATTTTAAAGGTGAAAGGAAACCCTTTTGGAATATAAACTATATCATAAAAGAGGCATATCCTGATCACACCCATGAGCATTTCAGATGGCAGAGCGCCATCTAGTGAATTAAAAATCAACTGAACGTTTTTTAATGATTGTTCCATAATATTTGGTCAACCCATTTTCTTGATAAAGTCATTTTTCAAATATATATTTTTATTCATTCCAGATTTATTATTGTTATACTTACCATTTTTATTATTTGTGAATTAATTATTTTGTGCTTGCGATTTGATAGAAATGTCTGAAAAAGAAATAGAAGAAATAGCAAACAGTGTTCACTATATATTATTTTAAATGTTCTAAAATAATTCAATGAATTTATTTTTAAAATATATTAATATTATATTTAAAACTAGACGAATGGCCAGGGCAACGCCCGGGTTTTACCCGAGTGCGTATATATTTTAAAAACGTTTTAATTCAAATACTATTCGTTACAATTATAAATTGGCGCCGTGGATGTCTTATTTGTGAAACGTCCCGCCCCAAACTGTGTGTGTCTTGAAAATATAAAAATAAAAATGTGAATTTCATCATGTCGATTTTTTTTTTGCATTTCACCTACTAAATCGATAGAGATAATTACATTTGCAACATGAACTTAGGTATATTGACTAAATAGAAAACTGCATAGTAATAAAGATCATTTTTTAAAGGCACCATATCGTTTTTTTTTTCAATAAAATCGAAACAAAAATTAACGATAAATAACGATAATTGCCTTAAAAAGAAATTGCCTTAAAAAAAAGAAACATTCGCGGTGATTTTGTCTTGCATTCGTTTATACAATTATTATATACGAATGACCCGGGCAACGCCCGGGTTTGACCAGATTAAATGCTTTTATTCAAATACTATTCGTTACAATTATAAATTGGCGCCGTGGATGTCATTCTTGTATAATATATAAATGAGTTTTAAAAATTGTAAAAAAAAAAATGCATCGGCCGGGAATCGAACCCGGGCCGCCCGCGTGGCAGGCGAGTATTCTACCACTGATTAAATGAAAGGATTTAAAAGCACGAAAGTTTCCTTTATACATAATACACACTTCTACTGCCCTTACTGCAATGAAAAAATATATTGGGAGGGCTTGGCTCATCAGTAGTGAACCCTCCCAGCGGTTTCGCCAATTTAATCCACCAGACCGCTTCTCAGAGCTCTAATACTGTATTGGACGATTCTGCTTATATACGCAGCACTGAAGGATGGAATCTCAGAAATGGTTTTCAAGAGAACTATGGACAAAAGCTTATAGGACAGTAGAATTACATTCAAATATTTGCATCGAGCAATGCTCCTCCGCAAACAATAAATACAAGGCCAGTTAGGCATAAATTAATACAAAGCGATAACGCGCCATCTGTACACATTAAATGAAAGGATTTAAAAGCACGAAAGTTTCCTTTATACATAATACACACTTCTACTGCCCTTACTGCAATGAAAAAATATATTGGGAGGGCTTGGCTCATCAGTAGTGAACCCTCCCAGCGGTTTCGCCAATTTAATCCACCAGACCGCTTCTCAGAGCTCTAATACTGTATTGGACGATTCTGCTTATATACGCAGCACTGAAGGATGGAATCTCAGAAATGGTTTTCAAGAGAACTATGGACAAAAGCTTATAGGACAGTAGAATTACATTCAAATATTTGCATCGAGCAATGCTCCTCCGCAAACAATAAATACAAGGCCAGTTAGGCATAAATTAATACAAAGCGATAACGCGCCATCTGTACACATTAAATGAAAGGTGTGTATTATGTATAAAGGAAACTTTCGTGCTTTTAAATCCTTTCATTTAATGTGTACAGATGGCGCGTTATCGCTTTGTATTAATTTATGCCTAACTGGCCTTGTATTTATTGTTTGCGGAGGAGCATTGCTCGATGCAAATATTTGAATGTAATTCTACTGTCCTATAAGCTTTTGTCCATAGTTCTCTTGAAAACCATTTCTGAGATTCCATCCTTCAGTGCTGCGTATATAAGCAGAATCGTCCAATACAGTATTAGAGCTCTGAGAAGCGGTCTGGTGGATTAAATTGGCGAAACCGCTGGGAGGGTTCACTACTGATGAGCCAAGCCCTCCCAATATATTTTTTCATTGCAGTAAGGGCAGTAGAAGTGTGTATTATGTATAAAGGAAACTTTCGTGCTTTTAAATCCTTTCATTTAATGTGTACAGATGGCGCGTTATCGCTTTGTATTAATTCTACCACTGAACCACCGATGGTTATGAAAAATCCCATCCGTGAGCTTCAGACAGACAAACAAACAGACAGAATAAGGCAAATATATAAGTAGATTAATATTTATTTTGAAATTTTTAATATTCCAGTATATTAATTTATGTTAAATACAAAAATTATTAAAAAGCGCCGTCTACAATAAAATCTGTCTTTGGAGATTTCAAAAGTCAGCTGAACTTCCTGGGTAGTTGGTGTTCTGCGTTCCAAGAACACGTGTTATATATATATCTTTCTCTTTCTTATATATATGTCATATTTTGCCTAATGTCCCAGAGATATAATTTATATTCACCATAATTAGAATGTTTAAATGTAAATACAAATTTACCTATCTATAAATCTGTACAGAATAAACGTGGGAGCCAGCGCGCGCGGGCGAATGCTATTGCACGCCGCCGCGTGCGCGCGCTCACGAGTGTGAAACAAATTATTTTTCGAAGCTTACATACACAACAGCTGCACCCTTCCATTCGACCACGACAGGTACGACATATATATGCAAATTCAATAATTCTTTAAATATAGGATGGCCAACAGAATTAACCTTCATATAGTGGGACAAAATATTTATATTTGACCTAGTTGGGTAACGTGAAATGCATAATAAAATAAATTTATAGGAAAACAAGCGGTTTTATTTGATATAATACTCTTCCAATATAGGGTTTGGAATTATTTTGAGGAATTAAAAAGTGCATATAATTGTGAAAATGGAGTTACAATAACAGCTCAAAATCAGAAAAGTTGAAAACAAGTCAATATAAACATTTAGCAATATTAATATCAAAAGGATAAGATCGACTTGTCATCACATGTGGAAAGTACAAAAAGAAATCCAGTACAGTTAAACCTGTATGATTGATGAAAAATGGGTAAAAGATGTCGTTTATTAACAACACACAATTAGGGATCCAATCCCGATTTTTTTTTTCTGAAGAGACAATGCTTTGAACACCCGATTATTACAAAATTCCAACCCCACCAGAGAATGGAAATAACTATTTGGGGTTCATTTGTACCCTACAGATATGAAAGATATACCTCCAAATATGTGGTGTTCTTACTATAAAACCTCTTCTAATTAAACCATGATTATAATGGTGGTTACCATGTGTACTTCGGAAATAGAGAGATAAGTGTTGTGTTGGTAAAAACAAGTGATACAATTATCCTTAATAATCATTGAATAATATGTTTTTTTTTACCTTTAAAAAGGTGAAATTGTCGTTCATAAAATGAAGAAAATACTGATTGATTTACCTATAATCGTAATATATATATATATATTAATACCTCTAATAAAGGACCTACTAATACACAACGATTTAATTGAGGGATAACTGTTGTAAATCTAAAACTGACCTGAGCTGAAATAACTCAATTTTTACGAAAACAGGAATGAATAGAAGCACCCATATTATAGGAGAGTCCATAATGTGATATTACAGTTTTCGCTAAATTGCAAATACATTCACATTTTACAAGTTACCTACGAAGAGAGATAATATATTTTCTATAACTATTTCTTGCTATTTTTCTCGATTTTTCTCTATATATGGTGTTTTGTTTAGTCTTACCAGCGTAAGACTGAACAAAACACCATATATAGAGAAAAATCGAGAAAAATAGCAAGAAATAATGGATTTTTCCAAAGTTCCTAAGTCACACATGCGCAGTTTTTTAATATGAAAAATCGGTATTATGAGATTGCGTTTAGCATATGCAAACTCACTGGCATGCGGGAAAGTACTCCTTCTGCTGCTGATTGGTTGATAGGGCGCATGCACTAGACCAATTTTTGTACCAACTTGCTCAAAATTTTCAAAAAGTCGCGCTGTGCTTTAAAGTTGAAGCAAATTTAGGATCCAATATAAAATAGGTTCTATAATGTAATTAAAATTTAATTAAAAACCTTTTGCTTTCAAGGTGAAAAGCTATCAGAATAAGTTGCAGAGATTTATAAGTGGGTGATTCTGATATATTTGATAGAGAAGGGAATGAAGATAAGGAGATGAGAAATAAGGTTTTGTTGTTTTTTTCCAAATCTAGAAATATTTGGGATTCCGATGGCACATGAAAATAATTTGTGGAGGCATTTTTTGTTTTATTGTTGAGAATTGGTTCGAATATATGGAATAGAAACCTTCATGCCCCCTATACAGTTATCAACATAAATTTGACCTAATAAATACATTTAAACAACATGAGGCTACATCAATCAAAACTTCAACACACAGAAAAAAAAAACGCGACACTTTCTTTTAAATGTTTTTTATTCAATATAAAGGGCCTAAAGAAATAGGTTTCAGTAGCATTGAATGTCAATAATTACCCTTCATAAATGCATTTTTCAAAAAATACAGAAAAATACAATTAAATAGAAACTGACATTTTCCCTTTTAGCCTGTAGAAAAACATCTTGACCCCCCCCCCCCCCAGACAGGTTTCATAGAAATAACTACAAAAAAAATATGTTTTAGTTTTAAAAGAAATATACCAATTTAATTAAAAAAAATATCTATCACAGACTATCTTAAAGCCTGAAATTTTGTACACAGCATTATTAGCATAATTGACACGTGAACAGAATTTCAGACTTTTGCGTGGTCAGGTAATATTTCAAAATTTGATCATAAAATATGTTTACAGACACAAAACCTATATTTCAAAAAATACTTTTAAAACTAATTCCAGAAGAATGGAAGAGGCCTCTTTTGATAGGTTTAGCCAAACTGCATTCTTTATCAGATTCAAAACCTTATTCTAATTCTCTCTCTCTCTAAACGAGGGTATAACATCATATAATGAAACAACTTTTAAAATATACTCTATATTATTACGATACAGAATCTATATATATATAAAATTGAATGTCTGTCTGTACTCTATAGATTCACACACCATACATCCAATCGCCGTGAAACTTTGGGATATTATTAGGTATATCCCCTGGAAGGTTTTTAAAAAATAATTTCTTGAATATCTTGAATATCCTTAGAGTTATTTGCAGATTTGTAGATATAACTCGCAAGCAGCGCCCCCATTGCGACGATGATAACAAGTGTTTTTATCTATAAGTTTTATTATCACTAAGTTTATTATCTTAAAAATTATTTATCAAAAGTAAGATTTCTACCTATTAATTGCGCAAAAGTCAAAGTTAGTTTTATCATTTATCTACAACATATATATTGGGAGAATAGATAAAATGATGATTTTGTAATGTAGAAATTAGGAAAGACAAAATTCAGGATGACACGGCAATTTATTTGAGACAAAAATAATGATACAATTCCAAGGCAAAGATACTATTCCTTTAACTTCCAATTAACGAGGGAACCAATTAATATTGATTTTACTCAACTTATCGAGTATTTTTCAAGGGACCGGGAAAAAATGTTCACTTTATCGAGAATTCTTTAGACAAACCTTTACTAGGGTAAAACCTGGGCGAAGTCGGGTACGTCCGCTAGTTTATAATAAAAACAATGTTTTACAAAGTATTCCTACCTGACATTATATCTATTTACATGCAATCATTAAAAGTATGAAAAATAGTGGATTTTTTACGTCAACACAAAATATATTAAATACTTGTATATAGTTATAGTATTAAAAATTGTTTTTCCTTTGCCATCATATCCATACACTTGTTATTTCGTAATAGTTTATTCCCCTTCAGAAGCCGTTTCCAACTTCAAGGATAAGTTAGTTCTCTTTTCGATATTAAGATGGGGTTGTAGAGAGAGATTTATCAGGA